TTTTTTTTTTAAATAAAACTCTATTTTATATCTGATAGTGGTTTATTTTAATAGTAAATAATTTAAAATATCGAAAATTAGTTTAATTATCCTCTTTTATCGCATATAAAGTAAATAATATTATTAAAAAAAAATTAAAGTATATAAGTGCGTTTTAATATATATTTACAAAAAAAAAACATCATTTGCAGTCGAAACAAAGTGTGAAATACTTTAACACACAGATGTAAATACTTTTAAGTAGGGAAGAAAGTCTAATTACAGTGGGGTTGTAAAATTTATTGCCTGGGAGAAAGAAGTGTCAGGTTCAAGGTCATACGACTCCCCAGTTTTTGTTTATATATACTTTTCTTATCGTCGCTCTCGTGACTGTTGTACATCGACCCTTTTATTTACGTTATAATCAATTATTAGATATCAAATTTTCATTTTTTGGCCCCCCCTTGACGGAAAGTATCATATTACAACAAGCAGTTAACGTGTTAATCTACTATTTTTATAGTTTAGGCCCAAACGTTTTGCTGACAGCCAGTTTAAAAGATTTGCCTTTTGTTCCGTTTGCCTACAGATATTATGGACATGGGAGTGCCAGTTAAGTTTTTTGTCAAAGTATATTACAAGATACTTGAGTTCTTGAGCAATCTTTATTTATTTGCCATTGATGTAAATCCCTGGTGGGCACTGTAACCTATTTCTCTTATTTCTTCTGGTACAAACCAAATCAATGCATTTGTCATAGTTTAACAGTAGCTTGTTATCACTCCAATTATAGATGTCTTTGAAGCAGGTGTTGGTAATGTTGGCCAGGCGACCAAAATTCTGGTGTGAAACCATAAGAAGGAAACCGTCGGCAAAAGCTTGAATTTTAATATCCTTGTTAGTATTGGTGGAGAACAAAAGGTTATTGAAATTCATGTTCCAGAGTCCAGGTCCACTTCTGGATCCCTGGGAACATCCTATGTTGATGTTTTTAGTAATAGAGAAGTTATTTGATTAAAGATAATTTTCCTGTTGCTTAGATAGTCCTTCGTCAGTTGGTAAATGTTTCTCGGGCAACCATCCTCTTTGAGGCGATAAATGACACTTAGCCACCAAAGGTGGTCGAAAGCCTTGTGGTAATCGATGCTGATGAGAATGGTGTGTTTGTTCTTGGTCCAAGCATTGTGGATCATGTCCCTAACACAAAGTGCAGCATCAGTGGTGGATCTTCCTAGTCGGAATCCAAACTGGTATGGATGTAGCTTCCCTTTGCTGTGGAGATATGATATGATATGATATGTTTAAAAGTGTTAGAAGGCTGAACCTTACGGCATAGCCTTTGAAAAGGAAGGATGAAGAGTTTTAGAGGAAGTGAGAAGAGGGAAGAAAAGTAAGGAATGATAAGAAAGTGTGGAATGGGAACCATGGTGCCGTCATGTTCCATTTATTGAGTATACTTTAGTTACAACACATGGAGCATAGCCCACAGATAACAGTATGGTCAAAATATATACAAAAAATAAGCCCGCATATGGTACTGCCTCTAGGGAGACAGGGAATGCGAGCAATTGACAGCTATGCACATGGGAAATCGACACAAGCTGCTGAAAATACCAACCTGGAATGTGTTGGAGTACAAAAGCATAAAGTTAAATGCGAGGGAAGAAAAAAATAATAATAGTAATAAAATAAAACAAATAACTAAAAATAAACACGAAAAGTATCAACAGCCAACTCGGCCAGGTTACAATGGGAAGCAACAATGCAAAGAACCCCAGATAGCCAACTCGGCCATAATACAGGGGAATACAACACAACACAAGTCCCCCCGATGGCCAACATGGCCAGGATCCAGTGGGAATGTAACAAGACTGGAATCCCCAAATAGCCAGTTCGGCCAGGTTACAATGGGTTTCCAAGTGAAGCCAACAGCTGGGATGCCTAGAGAATTCTAGAACAAAGGTACCATGACCCCGGTACCCATGATGAAGTTCTTTAAAGCGTTTAATGTCTGTTTACTCATGAAAAAGTCTTTTGGAGCACAGGGCCAATGGAGGCTACACCTGTACAAGGTCTCGGTGAAGGTCTTTCTTAGTGTCTTAAACTTGGGACACCTGAAGATTACATGGTGTGATATTCGTCTTTGCCCAAACCACAGTCACATATTCCGTCTCCTTTGTGGAGAAATCTTCTTAAGTAGGCATGGAAGTTCCCATGCCCCGCAAGGATTTGGGATAGGTGGAAATCAGGGGGAAGTAGCCCATCCTTTGCCTACTTGCAATGTCAGGCAGGAAATCATGGGTAGTTCTTCCTGTACATTTGCTGTTCCATCTGGCTTGCCAGTCCAAAATAGTAACTTTTTAAATCCTCATGAAGCCAACAGTTGGGGAGCTCTCCAAACACTGGTTCTGTTGATGATCGTGCTGCCTTCTTGCAATAAGGTCGGCCCTCTCATTTCCCCCAATGCCAGAGTGGCCCCTAACCCATGTAAAAGAGACCTTATGGCCTTTCACAGATAGGCACTGGAGAAGGATTACTGTTCATGCAATGATGTTCACTTTTGTGTTTAATTTGTGGACTTGTAGTAAGGCTGTCTTGCTGTCACTAAGAATTTCCACATAAATTTTATTTTTCCCATTAAAGTGAGTGTCTACATACTGGAAAACCTTGAGTATTGCAAGGCTCTCAGCTTGGTTGACTGTACAATATCCTTCCAGTTTTCCACTCATCTGCCAAATGTTCTGTTCATTTGGTCCAATGATAACTGCAGAACACCCTACACCCTCTGGTGTCTTTGACCCATCCGTAAAGATTTTGAACCATGAATAATTTCCTTGGGCAGAGATGTGGATATTGAATATAGGATGCTGGCTGCAGGCAGGGTGTAGTTTGTAGTACTTGTGGGTGTAGTCCATATTGTGTTTAATGATATCCTTGGCTATGTTTTTAATACTTGTAGGAAGATCAATTTTTTTAAGGAGGCCACAGGATTTCTACTAAGGTGAAACTTCCAGTATGTTTCCAGGATTTTGAGGTCTAAAGGAGCTAAGTTTGCCAGTACCTGGAGTGCATTGGTAGGTGCTGTTGTGTAGGCTCTTGCTACAGTTAGCAGACAGGCTCGTTGGATGGATAAGATTTTCTTTTAGTCTGTTGCTTGGTGGCTGCCTTTTCCCATACCTCAGCCCCATAGAGAACCACCAGTTCAATAGCACACTTGTAGATTGTTCTGCTAGTATGGTGTTTACAAATAGAGTGCAGAGAATGGGCGAGTTTAATACATTTTTTCTTGATGTTCTGAATATGGGGATTCCAAGTGAGAGTGTTATCTATCAGGATCCCAAGATATTTTATTTCAGTACTTGTCTGGATCTTTTGGCCATTGATTTTGATAGCTGGGTGCTTGTCTAGAGGTCTTTTCCTAGGAAAAACTATTGAGTTACATTTTTCAATATTGATTTTAAGTTTGTTGTTTTTGGCCCATCTATTGACAGACTTTAATAGATTATTCATGTTAATTTGCAGCACCTCTTGGTTCCTGTGCTTCATTGTAATCAGCGTGTCATCAGCAAAGCCACTTTGTGAGTGTAGTTGTGCTTGTTTTAATACATGCTGTTCTGTCTTGTAAAAAACTCCTGAATAAAGTAGTGATGTTCTTGGGGAAATTATTGTTATTGAGGGAGTCTGATATTGCAGGCCACCATGCATAGTCGAATGCTCCCTTGAAATCTATAGAAACAGCTATCATATGCATGTCTTTCTGTTTGGCTTCTTTAATGATCCCCATAAGTTGGCAGAGGGCTGTCCCCATACTTCTGTTTTTCCTAAACCTATGCTGGTTTGGGTGGAAAAGTTGCCTAGGAGAATCTTGTTCATATGAGAGTCTTTGCTTATTACAGTAATGTTCCCATGCAACACTTCCATATTTGATATTCCAGAGCTATGGGTTGCACTATTGAATCATGACCTATGCTAAAATCATAGGTCATGACCTATGATTTTAGCATAGAATGACATAGCATAAAATCATGACCTATGATTTTAGCATGAATCATAACTGCATGACCTATGCTAAAATCATAGGTCATGCAGTTATGTGAAAAAACATACTAGTGACAATGAGTCTCCAGTGTTTATGTTTTGTTTAAATTTTCTTTATATTCTTATCAATCTTTTCTGCATATATTAATTCTGTTAATTTTTGTTAGCCATTGTATTACATTTATTTTGTACTGATGTATAACTTTGTATTTTTATTTATAAAAAAATTGTTATGCTTGTGCATTAAGAGCAATTTGAAATGTGTTCTATCTCCACATTTTATAACATCCCATCTTTCATATTACCTGAAGAAGACAGTTATATACTGTTGAAAATTCTCATTAATTAAATGTATTTACTAGTAATGCCAATAGACAGTTTTTAGATTTTCTTTCTTTTATTTTTAATAAGTAGCGTCTCTTGTTGTTTTTATCTCATAACTTACTGCTATAGGCCTTGTGTAATATTTGTGTGGGGCACAAGAAGAAATATGCTTTAAATAAAAAAAAATCTGCAAAATACTATCATTCTGGATCATCATCAGACAATTCCATTTATTGGGTACCAGATTAATGAATACTCACTGTATCTTTCTTCAAATTATAATACTGATTTTTATACATTGATTTATTTGTATCAAATTATAGTATTACATATGTATTATGCAAATTATATAAGCCTCATTATATCTTCTGTAAAAAAACAAATTAAAGAAACAGAAGTTAATTTTTATTATATTGAATATATTTAATAGTTATTATTTCAGAAAATTCCATATTTTAATTCTGTTTACATTTATGTTCTATTTCTCAATATAATTTTTACAAATAAAACAATGATATGATACATTTTCTGGAAATTATGAACATTTTGTATATGTTGTAAATGACAAGTTACATGGAATTTAACTTGTCATTTATTAACTTGTCTTTAGTATTTTCTTTTATGTAATACCCAATCTTCAAATTCTTAAATTCTGCACAGTGTAATTTATTTTTACATTATACTAATTATAATGATTTTAATATAAAATTTTTACCTTGTCAAGAACTTCTCCAGGTGCACAATCAATAGTTGTACCAAGAAGAAGAAATTTATTGACATTTTGGACAAGAGCAATTTGACAATGTCCACCAGAAGCCAAAAGAACAAGAAAAGGGAATTCTACTCTGAAATAATTGTAACATTTGAGTTAAACATAAACCAAATAAATATAAAAACTGATTAAAGAAAAATATCTGAATTTTTTCAACTTATAATTTATACAACAATATATTTTAAACATGCAATATTACATATACAGCAGTTGCGATACAGTATTGTCACATGGAGTTTCAGATAAGGTTTTATAATAATTATGATAAAACTGATTAAAAAATAAAGTTCTTAAAAAGTTCTATTCTATTCATTTTAAATATAGTTATTATTCACAATCATTTATAAGAATAATATTTGAAAAAATATAGAATTTCATAAAAGTTATCTTTATGAGTTTTCAATTAAAAAAAATGGTCTATAACTCAAAAACATATTAAAGATAATAAGATTTCTTGTAATCTATTCTCAACAAATGAAAATTTCTTATAGAGTTATAAAATATAAAAACTGTTTTATTTGAAATTCATTTTTAAAAGATAAATAAATTTAAGTTAGAGCCATGATTAGAATACTTCAACTTCAGAATTTTTAATGATAAAATCATTTACAGTAGATCCCCCTATAAGACGGTAGATACGTTCCGTTCTTTGTGAATCAATTTTGTAGGAATCATAGTTTACGGACTACGGCTGTTTGAAAGGTTTTCTTTCATAAAATTAATCGATTCTAGACTAATTCGACTCAACATTTCCAAAATACGTATATTTTTTTGAAAATAATCCGTATAAACTACGTTATAAACAAAAAATTGTAGG